CAAATCAAGTAATTCAGCTTCACCACCTTTGCCCAAGCAGGTGGCTTTTCTTGGCGCCATTTTCTCCCAAACTGACCACACATTTGGATACGTGTGTGCATGCATGCGCACGCACACACACGCACACACATACACACCCCGACCCACAGGGCCCCCTCTCCTTCAGAGGGAATGGTTAACAATCCCTGCAGAGCAGCAAACTCAAGGACATATTTAGCAAGTCTTGGGGATGCTAGAGACAAAGGCTTGGGAATGTAAAAAAAAAAAATACAAGTCTTGTCTCAGCCCTCTTCTCAAACCTGCTCTGAAACAAAACAGCTTGCCAGGTTATCAGGAAGCCTCAAAGTTAATCTAGCTCATACAGCCAAAGCTAAAGATTGCCCTTCACTGGAGGCAGATAGTAACCTTAATTTATGCATTTTTTCCTCCTCCTTTTTTCCCCTTTGTGCATGCCTCTTTGCGTGCAGAGAAAAAGTTGAGCATCAGGACACGTGCCCAACAGTTAACAATGCTTATCTCTGGGTCATGAAACTTTCACATTCTTTCCTTTTCCATTTGTTTCTTTATACACTTCTTTTTTCTTTTTTAACATGCAGCACATATTTAATAATCAGGAAAATCCCCAATAATGTCTGTCCTACACACTAACGTATAGGAGTGGGAGAGGAGAAGGCCCAGTGGGCTGTCTTGGGGCAAAGGAGGGGCAGGGACCAGAGGGCTATTTTATATAGGGAAACCAGGGAAGGCTCTCTGATAAGATAGGCTTTGGAGAGAGATCTGAAGGAAGTTAGAGAGTGAGCCTGGCCTATCTGGGAGAGAGCATTCCATGAAGAGAGAAAAGCAAGGACAAAGGTCTTGGGCTTGAATTTTATGGCCAGGGCTGCAACCTTGGGTCAGGGGTTGCATCACGAAATGCATCAGGAGAACAGGAGAAAGCATCTCACCCATGCTTTCTGAAAGCGTGCTCCATGGAGCACCATCCCAGAAAAAAAGTTCTGAGAGAAAAGAGTCCCATGTCTACCCACCCCTGGAACAGATTCACAATGAACAATGACTTAGTCAAGGCACTGAGAAATCATGCAGCAAAAGGAAATCATCCAACTTTATTGCAGCAATTCCAAGTATTTCACCATGAACCTCCTTTTTGCTATAAAATCTAGTCACATCTGGCAGAACCCATGTACTTTGTGAGATGCCCACATATCCATTCTTTGAAGTGCAAAATAAAGTCCAGAGACCTGAACTGACTTCCCCAGGTTCCCAGGGGTCCCACTTTACGCTTGCGGCTAAGAAGGGTCCAAGCCCTGCTCTTTGGACTCACAGCCAAGCCACTCTTCTAGAAGTGTTTTATCCACATTTAATAGCCTAAGGGGCCAGTTTGAGCTTCTCTGAAGCCAGAGGAAGAGTTCCCCTGAAGGAAGAAAGTTACTCTCTCACCATACTTCCTCTTTATTTAGCCAACCTTTTTTTTTTTTTTTTTAAAGTAAGGTCTAGGACCAATGTGGGGCTTGAACTCACAACCCCGAGATCGAGTCACATGCTCTACCGACTGTACCAGGCAGCGCCCCTTATTTAGGCATCTTTAGGTAAAGACTAATTTAAATTGGGCCTTCATCTCTAAGGGTGCTAACAATGTATGTGTCTTTTCTGAGCCTGGTCTCTTAGTGGGCATGGTGGGCTAGTGCATTGCAAACACACTCATGGAAAAGCAAATATACTTTAATCAGCCAATAGCAATAATCAAAACCTCCACTTCAACACCCTACTTTTTGTAGAAGGCTCAGAATCCATGAACTGGGTATTTTTTCTTCCCTGCCTAAGGACAGGGTGGCACTGTGGCCTCGGGGCTCATTTATGAAGTTTTTGAGCATTTTTTATACCTGCCTTTCCAAAAGACAAGAGCCTCCTCTAGCACAAGGCACCCCATGTAATGTGGTGGTTTCAGAGGCTGGGCTGTGGGTCAGGCAGACATAAGAACCCCAGCGCTGTCATCGACTGGATATATGACTTGGGCAAGGGACATCAGTCAAATTTAGATTCTCTGTATCCCCCTGTGCTGAACGGGGTCAGTCATTCCCGTGTATGTTGTGGGGTCATATCCCTCCTCCTAGCTGTATAGTGACTTTGGAATGGGGGCAGAGAGGAGTATGTGGGGGTGTTGAAGCAGAGATGTCCTCCTTTCCTTGACTCTGGAGCTATTTCTGTCTGAAGAACTAGGACCCATCACTTTAATCAGGGCAACCCCATCCCCAGGCTATGCTGGAGACTGGGTCAAATTTAATTCAGCTTTTTTTTTTCCATGCTTACCTTCTATTCCATGTACCTACCTCCAGGGCAAAGCCCCTGCTGTTTCCCTGCCTGGAATGCCCTCCTCCATACCTTTGGTGAGCAGTGGGGCCATTGCCTCAGGCCTCCACATGCCCTTTTCCCAATAGCCCAGTGGTGCAGTGGCACTGACCAGTAGCCTGCTGCACCCAGGACTGGAGCCCCTTGGACAGCAGAGGAAGCAAGAGCTTAGGGTGCTCAGCAAAGCCGGAGCACAAACAGCAGCAAAAATATTTTAAATAGGTTAACAAGTAGTAACCCCCCCCAGGGCAAGTTTCTTTCCCAGCCTAGCTAGCTAGGCTGGGCCCCTGCTGGTGGATATTGACTAGGATGGACCAGAGACCAAGCTACAGCCTCACACATGGCCACAAGGGGGCGTAAACACACTGCGGGAAGCGCCTGAGCATCTCTCACTTCCCAGACCTGGTGGAGGGAGTGTGTGTGTGTGTGTGTGTGTGTGTCTGTCTGTCTGTCTGTGTCTGTACGCATGCATACACATCCCTCCACAAGGCTCATACCAGGAACTGACACTGTCATCAGTGGGGAGGCTAATGCCTTTCAAGGGGCCTAGAGAGTGGTGGTACAGCCTTGGCTCCAACCTTGTGACCTGGGGCAAGTGTCTTAATCAATCTGATCCTCAGCATCTCATCTGCAAAATGGGAATAAGAATGGTACCCACTTCAGAAGGTCTTGGGTCAATTCATGAAATGAGCTAATTAAATGAATCAATTCATGAAAAAAAGTCAATTCATGGACTGTGTTTACTTGTGGGTCACCCCACAGGCACATGGAGCATGGTCTCAGAGGAGGTCCAAAGGAAGGTGCCTTAAAATAATTTGTTAGTTAATATTTTATTGAAATAAAAGTGTGAGGAGAGAAAGCAGAATTATGTTTATCTTCTTTATAGTTACTTATCACTTTAGTAACATCTTGTGCTGTTTTTATATTTAATTACCTATGGGAGGGCCCTATAATCCTTTCAGTGTGTAGCTTAGGTAGGTTTTCAGCTCATGGAGGCCCCCATAGGTGCTGCAGCTGATGGGGCCCCCTATGTCTTAGGAGGTGCAGTCCCTGAGGGGCCCAGAGTGGTTGAGAGGTTATGCATGCAGGGCCCAGGAAAGTGTAGGTCCTGGTGGCATCCTCTGAGGGAGGAGCTGGGTGGTAGACAGCAAGGTTCACACGGGGTCTGCAACCCTCCATCCCTAGAGACCAGCCTACTCCCTCAGGAGCTGGCTATGGAGAGGCCCCACCTTAGAACCCCCCCATTAGTGCTCTCACCTAGGCCCCCACCTCCTTCAGGCCATGCCCAACCCTCTCCCCTCTGCCCTACTCACATGCCTCTCCCTGTGGTTCTTTGACCTCCAGATGGAGTCCTCTTTTGTCCCCTAGACTTGTGGTACCACCTCGGAGAGCATTTAGGGCATCTGGGGGGCACTTGTCACATGGTTAGGGAGACTCCTGGCATTCGGGGTTGTCAGAGGTCCTGGAGGTCCTACAGGGCAGTTTCACCCAACAGAGAATTGTCTGAGTCCTGCCCTACCTTCCAATATCTCATCTGGATGTTCAGACAGGTGAAGAATTGGTTTATCTTCATTGGAGCCTACAACCTTGTTCCTTTTTTCCAATTATTTTTTTAATTAAAGTATAGTTGATATGCAATGTTACATTAGCTTCAAGTGTACAGCATGTTGGACAAATCTATACATTATGCTATGCTTACCACAGTGTAGAACCATCTGTCATCATATTACACTATTACAGTACCATATTCCCTATACTCTATGTTTTATCCCTCTGACTTATTCACTCCATACAGTCTGGTTCCATTTTATTTGGAAACACAGAGTAATGCTTGTATAGTTTTAATATATAGCGAATTATTATACTTGATGTTGCTTGGAATTTTACCAATTATGCCTAATTTATGCATTGTGCTGCTCATAATCTTGAGAGACAAAATTTCACCTCCTATGAGTTAAAATATGATGACTTATAAAATATTGTACAGTGGATAAATGCGTCTTTCAAATTCAGTGAGTAGATGGGATGTTTTCATGTCTGTTCTAAAAAGTACAGGAGTTGTTCACTATCTAGGAAAATCACACCACGATGGCAACAATACTCATGTTCCTCTGCCTGGAATGAGTTTGTAGCTGCCATGTTACGAGGCTTCTGTATATGGGTACAAGCCTCAAAAGACCTCATCACATCCTTGTGAGCTAGCATTTACAGTCTGATACACATATTATTTTATTGAAAATTATGTTATTTGTATATATAAATATGTAATATAAAGGGCTGTCCTTTATATTACAACTAAGGCATTTAAGTGATTTTTTGAAATCAGGTGTGTAGATAAATTGTATTTTCTTTGATTTTCGTTGAAGGCTCATAATGGGAGGTATTGCATTTATTATTATAAAAACTAGGCTCTGAAAAAAAAGTTGGCTCTGGGAATCTCACAAACATAATATGAGCCAAAAAGCCAGAAACTAGGAAGACTTCTGAAATGAATGATTTCATTTATTTGAAGTTCAAAACCAGACAAATGTAATTTATACTATTAGAAGTCAAGATGGTGATTACTTTGGGGAGGTAGGAACTTGATGAAGACATGGGGTTTTGGGGGTGCTGGAAACATACTTTTGCTGATCTGGATGCTGGTTCTATAGGTGTGTTCAGACTATGAAAAACGAATAACCCGAGTCTCCTTGAGGAAACATCTGACAAACCCAACTGAGGGACATCCTACTACTAACTGGCCCATACTCTCTGACCATTTCAGTGTCACGAAAGGCAAAGACAGATGGAGAAAACGTCCAGAGAAGAGGACACTAAGGGCACTGGACAACTGAATGCAGTACATGATCTGGGACATGATCTGAGGGTTTCTGTCGTTGCTGTTACAAAAGACGTTATTGGGACAATTGACAAAATATGAATAAGGTATGTTGATGAGATAATAGTAACATAATGTTAATTTCATGCTTATTTGATTCTTATACTGTGATAAAATGGGGGGGGGGTCTGGTGACCAGTCTACAGTATATTCATTATATTATTTTTTTAACTTTTCTAAAGTCTGAAATTATGCTAAACTAAAAAGGTTTCGGGGTAAGGGATTCTGGGTCTGCCAGCAGCACCCAAAACATTGGCCATTCGTATCTCTGTTCCCATGGCTGCAACCCCAGTTTTCCTGGGTGTCAGTGTGAACAGGGGCAAAAAAAGAATAATCCGAAACCTGACATTTCCTGACACGGCCAAGTCTTGTGGGCCACAGGCACTGAGGATCCATCTCTAGGGGTCTCAACTTGCAGAAGGGCTTAGGAAAGTTGGCTGCGGTTGGTCAAGCTCTTGCCTGCTGCCAGACACCTGACTTTCTTTCCTCAGCATGACCTCTGACCTCAGGGGGGCACTGAGATTGAGGCAGGCGCCCCAAAGACTGTAGAGCTGCTGCTGCTGCCCTGATTCGAGCCCCCAGGAGTTGCTAGAGCTACCACCGGTTGATGCAGGGCTCCCCTACCCCAGCCTGGGGTCATAGGGCCCATGTGAGCAGCTCTGTAGACCCTAGTAGACCCACGCTGCAACAGGAGGGAGGAGCTCCCCTCCAGGTCCCCTCTACTGCCCCCAGAAACCACAGGCTTCTAGATTTAGTGCTGGGGCCAAGGCTTCAAAGGCTTGGCTGCCCCCCAAATATCTTTTCAGCTCACCTGCCTCTGCCTGAAATTAAACCATTAGAGCTCTGCTTTCCCAGGAGAGAAATCATTTCCAAGCACCGACTTCTAAAGTTCAGACGCCATTGTTGTATGGGTCATAGTTCACGGGCCTTGGATCTGTGGAACACACAGAATATCTTTATTTCCTGTACATCAATTGCAATCCAGCTCTAAGCCCCGAGGACCTGGGCTGGCTGGAAATTCAGCCCAGGTAATCTCCTGTCACACTGTTGGGCAAAGGTCTGGGGGGCTTGAGAGACCCTTCCGTTCATCTGTCCCTGCCGGTTTGGGTCCAGCACCTTGGCCCCTTGTAGCTTAGGGGCCCAGGGGGTGACCCACGTCCTGAGATCCAGAGCTGTCGCCTGGCCCCCAGCTCGGCCACAGCTTGGCTCTACTTCTGGGAAATCTGCTTTCTCTCCTTCCTCAAGTACCCCCTTAGACCCCTTGGCCCTCCCACTAACACACTGTATGGATGTGGAACCGAGATGCAGCGAAGAGCTCACAGGACAGACCGAAAAGGAGTTGATAAAAATCATTCCCCCAGAAGGTGTTACTGCCTCCCAGGGGTACCTGCATTTCATCAGGGGACCATGTCAACTGAGCACTGAAGCTCAAATGACAGGCAAGCTCTGGGCTCCGTGACAGGCAAGCCCAGAGTCATTCTGTGTACAGGCCTTTCTGCTATGTAAGGCTCTCCTGAGGAGTGAAGAGCACTGGACCAGGAGTGATAAATCCTAGCTCTCCCACTGACTCACTTTGGCAGACTCTGTTCCCTCTTTGGGCCTCACTTGTCCTGTCTGTATAGGGGGGTCAGAACAGGAGTTCTTTTGGTGTGGCTACTCTAGGATTCCCTGGGCAGCTTATTGATCCCTATTATAGCTTCCTCGGGCTGAAAAAGTCACACCCTCTAAACTCTACTCCTGAACACTTGGGACAGTAGCAGTGGCAGCAAGGACCTGCTTCCCAGCTCCCTGGGGAGCCCTGGGTAACTGGAGAGACAGGACCGTGTGCCCTCTGGAGATACCCGTGCCCAGAGCAACCAAGGACTCGCCACTCCCAGCAGGAGCTGAGAGACGAGGAGGAAGAGCTCCTTCCTGAAAACCTGACGGACCCCTGGGAGCCCAGGTGACCCTATAGCCCCCATGCTTTTGCCCACAGTGCCTGTCCCAAGAGAGCAACTGAGTGGGACTAAAGAGCCACCTGCTCGCCCTCCCATGCCTCTGAAGACAAAAACTGAATTGCAGCTGAAGGGATTTAGATTAGACTCACAGACTGCCAAGCCAAGAGCCGCCAGGGCCCAGGTGTGAGTCCATTCCGCCAGGCCAAGGAGGGGCAGCAGGAGGGCCTGATGAATTGTACCTGCCAGAATTTGCACTTGAGCCTGGGTTGGAAGGTGGAGTCAGGCCAAATGATGCCTAGTGCTTTCTGAGCCTTGAGAGAGTCCTCTTCCTCCAATCCGGAAGGCCCCCAGCTCTTGCTCCAGACCTCCAGCAGCTCCTCACGCCACCTGGATATAAAGGTAAACTTCTCCCTGGCATTGGAGGCCTCCAGAGCCTGGGGAGCCCTGTGTCCCCAGCCACACCCCCCGTCTTTGTTGACACATGCTGGGTGATACCCAGGCCTTCCTCTCGGTCTGGTAAATGGTCACTGCTGCTGAGGCTTCTGTGCTTCTGCTGGGATGCCAAGTACTTTGGCTTTGGACCCCTCTTCTAAGAAGCCTCTCAGACTAATCAAGTCTCCTCAACCAAGTCAGGACCCTTCTCGGGGACACGACCACCTTACCCCACTCTTGATCGTCTCTTGCAGTCAGCTCCTTGCTGAGGGTCTTGGCCTCTCTCCCGGAGGAACAGCAAAGGTCCTGCAGAGTGACCTGGGGCAGGGCCAGCCAGGTTGGAGGTTTCCTGGAGGTGGAAGGCCCTGACGGAGCCAATTTGGCATCAAATGTTCTGAAACTGCCCTTGTGGAGGACAGAGGCTTGGAGCAGATCTGACTCGTTCCTGCCACCACCTTGCCTGGCTACCGGCCCAGCCAGGGGGCCTATTTGGACACCTTGCTAGCAGATGGCCCTGCAAAAGGAAACATCCGTTTTGGGCTGTGCTCTCCAATATGGTAGGCACTGGCCACATGTGCTCTTAGGCACTTGAGATGTAGCTACTCTGAATCAAGATATGCTGTAAGTGTAAAATGCACAGTGGATTTGAAAAACTGAGCACAAAATACAATGTAAAATATGTCGTTAATTTTTTTACATGGATGACATGTTGAAATGATAATTACTTTGGACATAGTTAAGTTAAATAAAATACATTATTCAAATTAAATCACATTTCTTTTTACTATTTGTCTATTTATTAATATTTCTTCACTTTCTTTTTTTTAAGTTTATTTATTTACTTAAATCTCTACACCCAACGTGGGGCTTGAACTCACAACCCCGAGATCAAGAGTCATATGCCCTACCAGCTGAGCCAGCTGGGCACCTCCCCCGCTTTTTATCTTTTAAAATAGAGCTACTAGAAGATTTTGAATTACATATGTGAGACTCACATTCTATCATTTCCGTTTTACAGAGGAGAAGACAAGCTTCCGAGGACTTGAGTGACATGTGGTGCAACGCCCAGGTAGGAAGGCGCTGGTGCATCTGCCCTAAGTTTGTGAGCAGAAAAGGTTCCAAAAGGGATGTGTGCCCCAGGCCCTGCCTCTGGCTGCAGGACAAATACCAGAACCTTCCATGCTCCAGAATCACATTCCCCACGCCCCTCAGAATTGTGACCAACCAGCAGTTTATTCTGCCTTTGAGAGTGAGTTCAGAGTGGATGTTGTGACCCATGGACACGGGGGGCTCCCAAGATGTCCCGGCTGGGCAGATGCTGTTGTGTGACCCCATCCTCAGGCCAGCCCTAGCAGCAGTCAAAGCCTCCGTCCTGCTCCAGGACCTCAGCTTGGACATCAGTGAGGCGCCCTCCCAGACATCAGCTCTGACAGTGGGGCCGTCAGCTTACCTTGCAACCTTCACCTCAGACCCATTTCTGTCTGTATCCCCAACCTTTGCTCAGGCCACAGGCCACTGTCCTCAGAGACGAGCACTCTGGCCGATGGGTGTCCCTGCCTAGCCCTATGGGGACCCCTCAGGCCTCTGCAGCAGGAGCAGCTGTGGAGGTAGCTACAAGGTTGGGAGCAAGTCCTCTGCAGACAATTCCAGGGGGCCGGGTCTTTACAGCCACCCCATCTCCGGAGGCGCAGAGAAGAGATGCTCTGAGACCCAGGGCCTGGCTCCTCCAGGTTTGGAGGGAAGGCGATGCCCCTAGCCTGGGCACAGATTCGGCATGCTGTGGCCACTGGCCTGGGCCACCAGCCCAGATGTTTTCGAGGGCCACCCCGGCTGCCAGGGAGAGCTCTCTGGGATCTTGGGAGCAAACAGAGCCCATCTTGTCTTGAGTGCTCCAGATGTGCCCGGGGCCAGTCTTGCCCTGGGTAAGGATTCAGGACACAGTCCTGGGTCCCTTGAGGCCAGGTTTGCTGGAGGCATTTGGGATCCTACGGGGGCATCCCATTTGGATGTAAAAGGGTCAAATCTTGGGCTGTGATTACAAGGAGGCCACTTTTGATTTTAAAATAGTTTTAAATTAAAAAAACGAATTAAGGGGAAGGATTTAATGGGTGAGGATTCTTGGCAGCCTTGGGATAATTACTGTAACACCAGCTCCCATTTCTCAAGTCCTCGGTGGCGCCAAGCCTGTCATGCCAGCATCCCTGGGAGGGGCTGGCCAAGGTCCCTGGCATGGCCAGTGGCATCAGCCTGTTGTTCCAACTCCACGTGGCCACCACCATACCCATCCCTCCCTCCCTTGGGCCCATTTTCTCTGGCATAGAGCAGGAGAGTTACGGGACAGATCCAGGTTCCAATCCTACTCTACCACTTGCCCACTTACCCTCCTCCAGCCTCATCATCCTCGTCTGTAAAATGGAGGTGAAGACAGTTCTTGGATCCTAAGGAGAGAGTCAGACATCTGCCCCTGGCCCTTGGCCTGCCTTCAGAGGCAGCTTTCCTAGCATTACTTCTCTGCCGCTGCCTGCCTTCAAGCTGAGCAAAACTGTCCTCGAGACACCACCCTTCCTAAGGTCTCCCGAAACACTGAGGCAGAAAATGGCCCTTTATATCAGGCCAGGGGCGCCTGCAGGGGCAAAGCTGTGCCTGGCCTCCCATCGAGGGGCCCTGTCCCTTCTGTCCCCCAACCTCAGCCCGCTCGGGAGACAGATTGGTCCTGAGCATGGGAGTGAGAGGGGCCAACTGAACAAGCCTCTCCCTTCCCCGCATCCTTGGCTCGAAGCTAAAAGTCTCAGACCCAATTCTTCCCTCTCCTTATGGCTTCATCCAAAGTCCAGAAGTACTGCATAACCCAGGAGTGCCCTTCTGGAAATAGTGACAATGACAGGAGCCATGGTGAAGTGAGCAGAGAGAGGCACCGCCAGCCCCCCTAGTCTCTGCAGCTCAGCCTCCCTCCTAAGGGTGTTCAGACAGGCCACCTCCCATCTCTGCAAAGGCCCTGACCCAGCACCCCTCAGGAATGTATCTCTCTGCTTGAAATTTGCTGTCCCAGTTGTCACCTCCCCTCAGGCCTTAGCCCCCTGGCTGTCTGCTGCCTGCCCCTGCCCCTCTATCTGGGTTACAGTGAGCGGGGTCTCTAAACCCACCTGTGTGCTTTCCTTAGGGAGCCTTCCAGATTTGGGCTGGACTGAGGCGAGGCAAGGAGGCACTTAGGGTGCAAACTTAAGGAGGCACCCACTCTCAGGCTCCTATAAATGCAGGGTCGGGCCTGAGCATGCATGCCTCATCCTGGCCCCAGCCCTGCCTCAGACTCCTCAGCAGCCCCCAGTGGGTCCCTTTCCCCTGGTGTTTTGGACCCTATTCTGTGGCTTTTCTCCCACTTCTCAGCAGCTCCTGCTTAAGGTTCCCTGCTTTTCCTCCTCTGGACATCCTGGGCCCCCTCTTTCCTGTGTACCCCTCCCCTCTAGCCCCTAGACCTCACTATCACCTTGAATTAAGATACGCCAAAGCAGCCCAACCCTTTACCTCTCCCCTGGCTAAGACCGCAACATCCCACTAATTCCTAGCACTCCCCTCCCAGGCCCTGTGAGTGCTGCGTCCACCCTGGTCAGCTCCTGCCCAGGCTCCCCAGTCCGGGTGGAGGCCCAGGTACTTGGATCCTCTTTCCTTCCCTGATAGCCAAACCCTATCTTTGGGCTGCACCTCCTAAACTTATCTCATCCAGCCCCGCTGCTCCTTACCTCTACCATCCTGTCCCCTTTTTCCGGGCCACTGGCCCCTGCCTCCTCCCTGCTGCCACTCCTGCCTGCTCATCCCCACCCCCCAGGGATCTTCCTCCATTGCACATGGGGCTCTGCCCCGCCTCTACCCCAGACTCTTCGTGACTCCCCATTAGCCTCGGGAGAGTCCCAGCCTCTCCCCCAGGGCTCCAGCATCCCTGGTCCTTTTCAGCTCCACACTCTGGGCTCTCTCTCGCCTTTAGGCTTGCACACCTGCTTCCCCTTGGCTTCAAACTTTTTGGTCCCTTCTCTCTGCCTTGGAATACTGGCTGGAATTTAATTTTCTTCACCAGATGAGGTAGGCCCTCCCCCTTTTCTCTGCTCCCATGGCCCCTGCCCTGCTCTCTCTGTAACCCTCACCCGCTCAGTACCCTTGTCCCTCCCCACATACTCTGCTTGACTCATCACCGTCAGTTCCTCCAGTGCCTAGAACAGTCCTTGATACAGCACAGGCACTCGGTGGGTATTTGTTCCATGAATAAATGAGTTTATTAATCTTTGCATGGATGGATTGTCATGTAGGTGGCTTTGGTGGCTGGGTGGGGATGAGGGAAGATACTCCAGAAGCTGTAGCCAGTGTCTGCCCAGGGCAGCAGGTGGCTGGAGGGAAAAGGCCATGTCATCTCCAGCAGGCTGGGTGCTGATTTTAATGGCCCGGCAGTGAGGTGCGTGCATGGCAGAGGCCTGCAAAAGAGGTAACGCCGAGAGGGCAGCCCTGCCCCCCTCTAATTATTGCTTGAGTCTTCCTGGCAATGCCAGGTGCCTGCCCCAGAGAGCTGGGTCTCGTCCATCACAGTGTGAGCTCAGGGTGGGGCTGCTGCTGCTGCCAGTGGGGCAAGACGGGAGGAGATTCCCAGGGGCCTTTGGGTCTTGGAGAGCAGAGGCAGCCTTAGGCTTGGACCATGCTCAGCTCCTGTCCTTCCTGTCCCCAGCTGAAGGGTGTCCCCTGACTTGAGGGTCCCATCAAGAATCCTCCAGGGTGGCCAAGGAGCAAGCCAGCTGAAGGGGGTGGTCCACAGCACCCCCCAGGCAGGGAGCCTCGGATGGTTTGGTGTCTGCTGACATGGAAGCCCTTGGGAAAATGGTGCTCTAGTGGCCGGCTGGGCAGGCAGGCGGCTCAGGCCCGGAAGGAGGCCTTGACCACACGGCCCTTCAGTGGCTGTGGCGGCCGGAAGTTGTTCACCATGTGGATCCTCTCATCATCCTCTGAGGTGAAAAGCAGGCTCCGGAACTTCTCCATCTTGAGAAGGCGGAAGAGATACTCAGGGCAGAATGGGGGTGCTGTGGTCCTCTCTGATCCCAGACACATCATCTGGCATACCTGGCCAATTGGCTCCACCTCTCCCTCCTCTTACTCCTAGGTCCTGTCCCCACTCCTCCCCACTTGTTCTCTCTTTGGGATCCTGACCTCAGTTATCCACCCACTAAGGGGCCTCTAAACCTGGCCCCTGCTCCACCTAGCTCCACTTCCAAATCCATCTAGCTAAGACTTATCAACAAATGCAGGATTCAGATTCTAACACGGTAGGGATCATCCTAGGATCCAGGGATCTCCCCTCTTAGCCTGTGGTTATGTCCCAATGACTAACAATCAAGCGAACTCCCAACCAAGAATCTAAATGTTAAAAAAAAAAAGTGGGGGGTGGGCAGCGCCTGGCTGGCTCAGTCCGTAGAGCATCCAACTCTTGATCTCAGGGTCATGAGTTCAAAGCCCATGTTGGGCATGGAGCCTACTTTAAAACAAAACAAAACAAAAAAAGGAATCTAAATGTTTATTAGCAAAAGATGGGAGCCTTGATGGTGGGACCATAAGCTGTAGCTTTGCCGGTTGGGAGGGTGGCACTCCCTGGGATGGGCCCTGAGTGCCATATCCTCCCATCTCACCCGGGACTCTGGGAGAACTCACCTGCCTCTCGGAGATGCTGATAGGTTCCCGGAGCACAATCCAGGTGACGCTCTCACTCAGTGGGGGTGTCGTCAGGGAGCCCGGATAGGTCCAGTAGTGCCGGCTGGCAGGCAGGAGGCACTTCGGGTTGAAGCAGCTGAACTGGGCTTTGGTTCCCTGGGGCAGGGCAGGCAAACCCAGGAATCGGCATAGACCTGCCACTAGGACCAGACCAGCATCCTCCCCACTCTCTGCTGTCGGCAGGATTTAGGCTTTTCCTTGGCCCACTGATGCAAATGTGGGCATAGGTCTGTGATACCAGATGCCGTCTCCCCCCGGGTCTGGGCCCTGTCCACCTGTTTGCCGGTATGTAAACCCTGCTGCTCCTAGAGCCCTCTGGTCTCCATGTTCTGTCTCTGCCACGTCCTCCAACTGCCCTTAGCTGCCTGTAGGATGGCCACTGACTCAACAAGCATCCCACCCGGGTCCCATACCCACCCGGGTGATGTGCTGGGCACTCCGGGAGGCCACTGACGCTGGGGAAGAGGAGTTATTTGCTGGGCACTGTGGCTGCTTGCCTGTACCCTTCATCTCAGCAGGGGTTTGCTGTCAGATTGGAGCAGTGGTTGGGCCCGCCCTCTGCTCCAGCCTCTTCCTCCCTCCCACCAGGCTGCCCGGGGTCAGGGGTATGGACCCCCAGTCTCACCTTAAACCGAACCATATAGAGCGCATCTGTCAGACGGTTCATGCTGGGGTGCTCATCCCCTGTCTGTCAGGGAAAGGGTAGAGTGAGCCCAGCACCCACCATGTTTGGAACGAGGGGGCAGCGCCAGGCTTCCCGTGCCCCTCTTGGCCCCAGTAACCACCCCTTACCTCCAAGAAGACACCGACCACAGCCAGGCCATCAGGTGCTGAGGCTGCCTCCCCAAAGGTGCTGTACTTCTTGGCGTTCCAATGAACAAGGTGCAGCTATAGGGGCAAGGCCAGTGCTTAGCGCCTCCGAGGGGCCATGGGAGCTCAGAGCCAGGCTTCCCTCACTCCCACTGGACTCCTGGCCCCTCTGCAAGAGGGGTAAGGCTGTTAAACCTCCCAGGCCTCTGGGAGGGGCCGTAGAGCCCCCAGTGGAGCCCCCAGTGGTCACAGATAACATCCACACTGCTCTGGGCCCAACCCTTTCCTGAGCCCCAGGTGACCTAAAGAGGAATCTGGTTCAGGCCTTGCACTCAGTGAGCTGTGAGATAGATAATGGCCCTCTGAGTGACACATCTTGGAGGACACGGTGCCTGCAGCTGAGTCTGAAGAGTAAACAGGGGCTTATCAGATGGAACCCTGGTGAAAAGTACCCCAGGCAGAGAGAATAGCATAGGCAAAAAGCCTGGAGGTTTGAAAGAGCTGGGTGTGGACAGGAGATTCATCATATGCCGGCCAATGTGGGGAGAGGTCAGGAAAAGATGAGGCCAGGCAACGCCACTACGTGCGGGGCCTTGAATGCCAGGCTCAGTCCTTAAAGGGTTGTTAGCAAGCATGTGGTGGGACTGTACTTGTCCTTCAGAAAACTCCCTCTGGATATACAGACCAGGATATCCGTGGGCAGAGTTCAGTTGGAAGACCCTGTGCTGGGGGCAGGTGGAAGGTGTCTCTCCCAAACCCCCTGGGTGCCCCTCCTCACCCTCTCCAGAGCCCCACACCAAGCACCCATCAAGTCCCTGACTCTCCTGTCCTTCCCCAAACAGTACAGGGATTCCAGTAGAGGGCCCTTACCTCGCTGGGGAATGACTTGCCATCTACCGTGTGCTCTGAGCCCACACTGTGCTTCTTGCCCCAGTGGAAATGGAGCTGCTTGAGCCGATACGGCCCATCCAGGGGCCCCCCAGTCACCACTGCAGGAAGAAGTGGGGTGTGTAGTCACTGATGTGAGAGATCCCACACCTCCCAGCAGGTGGTGGTGCCAGGCCCAGGCCAGTGTCCAGGGGCGGGAGAAAGTTTTCATTTGGAAAATTCGTTGGGCTAACTAGGCTTGGGTCCATCCTCACCCAGTCCCCTGGGCCCTGCAGGTGGCAGAGATAGTGACAGAATACACCAGTCCACTTGGCCATCCTCCCCATTCCTGCCCACTTTTTTTTTTTTTTAAGATTTTATTTATTTATTTGACAGAGGGAGAGACAGAGCACAAGTAGGCAGACAGGCAGGCAGTGGGAGAGGGAGAAGCAGACTCCCCGCTGAGCACAGAGCCCGATGCGGGACTCGATCCCAGGACGCTGGGATCATGATCTGAGTGGAAGGCAGACGCTTAACCGACTGAGCCACCCAGGCACCCCTCCCGCCCACTTTTGCATGGAAGCTGGGACCTTGTCTCCCAGGCCCCCATTACCGCTAACAAGAGGCCTCTCGTGTCTGGATCCCTGACCCAGGGCTAGATTAGAAGGATTCTTTTGTTTAGTCCTTCTAGAAGCCTTATAGAAGTCATGAGGGACAGAACCTTTTGTTATCTCTATCTTATAATGGAGGAAAATGAGGCACAGAAAGGGCAAGGCATTTGGCCAAGGTCACACAGCAAGGCACTGAGCTAGGATATAAGCCTGTATATCCTTCATAAGTCCAGAGCCCAAGCCCCTACTTGCCAGATCACATTGTCTCCCTAGAACCGTGAGCGTTCTCAGGACCTGGTGTTGTCCAGAGACCAGCTCCTGAGGGTCCACACTCTGATGGCCAGGCCCAGGCCATCTCCCGTGGCCTCTTGGGAGGTCCCTACTTGTGCTGGTTTTGTGACTTTCTCACCCTGATACCTGGTGAGCTGGGGCCATGCACAAGGCCTCCTGGGACTGATTGAATTTCCAGGTGAAAGGGATCTGGCAGTGGAGGGAGCCCCAGTGAGGCCTGAATGTGAGCCCTTGGATCAGGTGACGGCCCTAGCCTCAGAGTTCCACTCTGAGGCCCGTCCAGAATGGGTGACCAGGGCAGGGCCTTGCCCCTTGTGGGTCCTGTGAGGAGGAGGATGACCCAACAGTCCAAAGGCCCTTCCTTGCTACCTGGCCTTATCCAAGAAGCAGGATCTGTCCATAGCATTCCTAGAGGGTTGACAAAGGGAGTCTGGGAGGGTGGCCATGGCAGGGGCCCGATCAGGCTGTCCCATCCTGGGGAGGCAGGAGCAAGAGGGCCTGCAGGCTGAGCTCCCTGATATGACCTCTGGGGGCCCACCCGTCTGAGCATGCCCCTCATGCCCCCCTGAGGATGCTGCAGTGTGGTCTCTCAGGGAATAAACTCCCTACCTAACCCCTTGAACTTAGCTCCTTTAGCCCTCTCCCTCTGTCCTGACTATAGATTATACTATCACTCACTCTGCATTCACCATGTATTTAGCACTCTGCTGGCACCAACCCCACAGTGTTCTTGAGAGGAACATATTATCACCCCCATTGGAGAGATGTATGGCTGAGGCTCAGAAAAGCAGGTGTCCTGCCCAAAGTCACACAGCTGGTGAGTGGCAGAGCCCCAACTGTCTCACTCCCAAGCTCAATCTCTTTCCACTGACTCCCTGCCTCCTCAAGCCTGGGCATTCTGGTAGGAGACGGAGCCCCAGCCAGGCCTCAAAGTAAGCCACTGGATCAGCGATCCAGAGGCATGCTCCCTTGGACTCCCTCCCCACTTCCCGACAACAATGGCCTTCACTAAGCTACTGAGGTGAAGCCTCAATGCCCTCTGAAGGCTGTTAGAAGGTACAGTCACATGAAAGCTGTTCCTTTAAAAACTGTCATTTAGGGTCATCAAGACCTCATGTCCCTCCCCTAAGCTCTGGTGAGAGGCTTTATTAAAAATTCTGTACCAGGAAGGGTTGTCTCTCTTCTGAGGGTCTGCTGGATTTCTTCCCTTCGGCAATAAGAACTATAGCTGGTCCTCTTTCCCTTTTTTCCTAGCCTACCAGGGAACTCAGGGCTAAGCAACTAAGATCACTCTTCTCTGGCTTCCCTCCTCTTCTCTGCTTTTTGATTTTCTGCTTGAAACGTTAAGTTCCCTTGTGTGCTTTCATTGTATGTGTGTGTGGGGGGGAGGTGGAGAGGGGCAGCGTACCAATTACTTCCTTACACAAGAAACTCTAGCAGTTTCCCTCCTTGCTCCACTCCACCCTTCATAGGCCTGTTCATAAGGATAAAATCTCTTCACTGAGGAGCACTCCTGAGGCTTCTGCCTAGGAATTTATTATGAAAGAACCTACACTCTCAACCCAGGGTAACAGATGTCATAAGTTCCTGCTGGCCTCCTCTGGCCCAACTGGTTGGAATCTTGAGGTTGAGGATGGGCTGGAGACAAGACCTTTGGGGTTGGACCAGGCTGATTTGGGCTTCCCCGCTCATTGAGTCTCTGCTTGCCCATCTTAGAGGGGAGTTCTTGAGAGGAATAAAAGAGCCTCCTAAGACCTTAGCAAGGGACCTGGCACACAGAACACTCTAGCTCCCTTCTGTCTCTGGGCTTGGCCAGATCACACAGGGAGGAGGGTTTGGCCTTAGGCCACACAGCAGGTCAGTGACAGGGCCTGGAGTGAAAACAAACCTGACCTAAAGCAGTAAATGGAAGAGAAGGAAGGGAATTCACATTTCTTGAGGATCTGCTGTATGTCAGCACTGCAAACATCACTTCCGTTTTTCATTGTTCCTCCCTATGAACCCAGAGAGGAAAAGAGGGTCTTTTTGCTCCCATTGTATGCATAAGGAGACTGAGGCTCAGCACAAGGCTTCAGAGCTGATGAGAGGTAGAGCCTTCCTTCCCCACCACAGCAACCTGCCCTTCCTGAGCCTGCCCCTATGCAGGGTGAGGACCCCAGTGGGAGGGGGGCCAGCCTCTGGCAAGGGCCACTTACCAGTTCGGTCATCGCTGTCATTGAAATCCACCTGGACAGAGTGGCCATTGTTGGCGATGCTGAGGGATATGCAGGCCTCATAGGAAAGCTCCAGTGGCTTCAGGCTGGGCGAGTACACAGCCTGGCTGGACACAATATTGATTGGTGACTGGCGGTCTCCCTGGGCAATGGGATACAGCTTGTGCCACTGTGAGGGGCCTGCAGGTGGGGAGAGGGCAAGGGCTCGGGCTAGCTGGGATCTCTGGGCTGCAGGCCGAGGACGCCCGTGGGGGACCGTCTTCCGATATCCCTTCAGATGTCAGCCTCTGCTTCGGAGCTGTCCAGTCCCAGCTCAGCCACTTCCCTCTCTGCCTCCATTTCCTTTCTGCAAAATGGCCTCACTAAAACTCTCCTCCCAGAGGTGATAGGAGGCCCAGAGAGGTAATTCATGGAAGGGAGCACAATATAGCCACAAGCCCAGAGGCGGCTCTAGGCAGGGACTCCTCCCCAACTCCCAGTGCATGCTCACAGTGAACCCCAGGCCTCTGAAGTCCCTGACCTGACCTTACCAGGTATCTAGCCTCTTCCCACACCTTGAGCACGTTTGTGTTGGTGTTTGTGATTACAATAACAAAAGCTAAAGTCAACCTAGCTTGGGCTCTGTGATATGCGCTTGCTCCTCACAACCAAACTGTGAAGTAGAAACCAGCATGATCCCCATTTCATAGATGAAAGAACTGAGGCCCATTCATGCATGTGCGCGTGGACACACACACACACACACACAAACTTGGGTACAGATATAAACATACAGCATGTGCATGGGCAGCCCCAACTGCCCTCCCCTGGCATCTACCTACAGATCCGTAGAGAATTTCATGTCTGCACACATATGTGTACAGTGACCTGGGTTCGTTGGGCCCAGAGTGGCCAGGCCCAGCAACATACATGAGTACAAACACACACACAGTCCTGCCGACCATACCTGACACACGCACATGCACCATCACCCACAAACACCCACTGTTGTAAACCCAGGTCTGCAATAAAAGACTACAGCAAAACACATGCTCGTGCAAGCACATACACACACACACACACACACACCTGCGTGCACACCCACGAGCGCCCACCACCTGCCTCCCAGAGGCTCCATCTGCAGCCGAGAGGCTCGGCATCTCCCTGGGGAACATCCTGAGATACAACCTATTTTTAGAGCTATTGCCGGCTGGTGCTTCTCCCCGTTTTTGGCTTCTTAAGTTTTCCCGAGAAAACAGCAGCAGGTGCCGACAGAGCTGTGTCCCCAGTGGATGACTCAGAATCGTGGCCCAGACCCACTGGGTTATTTTTGAAGTCCTGCGAGCATGCTGCATGCCCGCACCTCTATCTTCTGTCCTTCCCTCCCTCATTGCCCCTAGACTGAATGACCCAGGTCTGGCTGGGTGAGGGGCAGTGGCCTGAGGGTGGCAAGCCCATGGGGCAGGCCATATAGGATACTGTATGCTCAGAGCTGGTGGGCAGGACTAACAGTCAGGGGACTCCACTTCTGGAGAGAGCACCCAGAACCTAGTTCAGAGCAGGTGCTAGAGGGAAGATGATCTTCTATGGGTTCTCTCAACCTGCCCCTTCTCTGCCTCTCTCTCCAACTCTGCTGGTCTCTGTTGCCCTTTTCTGAATGTCTCTAGCTTTTCCATGCCCAGATCTGGCAGTCTCCCCTCCAAAGTATGCTCCTATGTCCCTATGTCCCAGAGGGAACCAGACACATCACAGCACCTCCCCAGCTCCCTCTGGCCCACTGTAACCTCCTAACCCCGAGACTAGCCCAGGACCTCCACCCTCCCTCAAAGAGTGATTCCCAGAAAAGGGGAGATGAGGAGTGTTCCTCTCACCAACACTCCCTGTCTCTGCACATCCACCTACCCTGCCTGGGGTTTCCTTCTGGCAGCGTGGATCTTGGGTCTTCATTGTTCACCGGATGGAGGGGGGAGCCCTTACCCCACACCCCCACCCCAGCTTGGTAAAAAATAGCCCAAAATGTAACTGACCTGCCCCAGACCCACATTCAAGCCATCTGGCTCTCACCTCTGCCTCTTCTCCCTTCCTTTGCATCCTAAGGAAACTGAGGCAGGATCAGGGAGCTATTTTCCCAGACAGGAGGTTGATGTGGGCCATGCGCTCCCACGCTTCACACCAGGACGTGCTCAGACACCCTACTCTATGTAGACACCCAGACACACGCGTGCACCCCCAAATTCCCCCTTCCTTCACATACCTGCCGACACAAAAGCTCCGACACTTCCGCGGGGAAACTCTCCCGGGGACACCGCGCCCTTGTCCAGCAGAGCCCGGCTGCCGGGAGGTCCCCGCACACACGCCGTGCGCGCTCCCCGCACAGACACCCGCGCACAGTGCCCCGCCCCGCCCATCCCCAGCTGCCCAGGGCCACCTCCATCCCCTGTGCCCGCCGCGGGTGAGTGAGTTCGGGGTCCAGGTCTGGATGAGAACGGCAGTCAGGGGCTGCGCGGAGGAGGTGGCAGGACGCGTGCTCAGCCGCGGGGTGGCTCGCTGGCGGCGGGGCGGGCCGGGTCGCAGCGCGGACTTTGGGCCAGGAGCCGGGGAGCCGGGGCTCGGGCCGGGCAGGTGGCCTGGGTTATGGGCGCTGGACCAGAGCGGGGTCCCGGTCCGGCCGGAGGGGGGGGGGGCTTGCGGGTCCAGGAAATCCGACTGGGCTCGAAGGTCGGGGGTTAGATCGGAGGGTAGGGGCTGGCGGGGTCTGTACCTACCGTCGGTCTGGCCGTAGCCCCAGCCGTGGTGGCCGGTCATGCCGCTGCTGTCCCCGCAGCCGTGCACCTGCCTGTTCCGCTCAGTTCCGCTGGCTCCGGCTGCGGCTCCGGCCCGCTCGCTACCGCCGAGCAGCCTCTTAAAGCTGCGGCGCGCGGGAGGAGCAGTTCCTGGGGGACCCGCCCCCCCAACCCCCAGCAGGGCTAAAGAGGCCAGCGGTGCCCCGCCCGCGCCAGCCCGCAGGCCAGTTGAACCCCAGAGTTGAGTCCAGGTGGGGGGTCTGGGGACCTAAAGCCCTCTCCCTACTCCCCATCTCCCCTCCCCCGCCCTGGCTAGAGGACTCTCCCCACTTTTCACGTGTACAGGCTCCGAACTGTACTGTGCTGAGGACTGCCCTGGTTTCTCCACATCCCATCCCATCCCGGGGCTTGTCCCTGAGCCGCAAATCCCGTTACCGGGGACCTGGACTCTGGGTCCTGAGTCCTCTGGGATTGGAGAGTCCCCTCTAAACTGCAAAGTGCATTGGCCATCAGGTGTCCAGAACTGGAACCAGACACTGTGGCAGGTGCTGGGCCAAGCTGTGGGTCATTCCTGCCATCTAACTCTCTTAGCTACCCTAACATTTGGTGGTACTTCCAAGTAGCCTCTTTCACAGAGAGAGGGCTGAAGCCTAGAGAGGTAAAATGATCTGTGCAGCATGCAAGGGATTCCCACCCAGATGGTCTCACTCTAGACACTGTGCTCTTTACCACTTCTCTTTGGTGCTGGGGGCAGGGGTCCCATAGTAATGGGGATCTAGGAGTCTGGGGTAGGAGAGGGGACAGGACTGGCAATCCAGACCCCTGACCCCAAAGGGGGAGTGGGGGAGGAAGTAGCATCAACCAGCGGGCATGAGGACAGATGGTCAAGAGCTCCCTCACAGAACCAAGCCTGAGACCCTGCCTCCCACCCTCTTCTTCTCTCCACTGCTTCCTCCTTCCCTGCAGGACTCTTTGCCTGCCCCTCTACAGCCTGCTGTTTGTCCTTCCTCTCCTTGACTCTTCATGACCTTTGGCACACCTGCTGGGAACTCAGGCCCTCCACCCTGTACTCGACCTCACTGCCTGCCTTGGCCCAACACTTGCCCCCCTGCAAGCCTTGGTCTTTGTTGTGCCCTCCTTGCCCGGGCGTCCTCTATCTTCCACCCACTGGCTTTAGGCCGCCCAATCTGATTCATCTTAGGATGTGGCCTTGTGCCAAGGATAGGCCTTGTCTCTGACTAGGCCTCAGCAGGCAGTTTTGGGAAGACAAATAGATGGGTGGATGGAAGGACCGACAAATGATCCCAGCCAGGGACCTGTACCCAACAGGAGGTGAAGGGCCATTTGACCTTGACCAGAGGAGACTATTTCAGGCCCTGCTCTTGGCTGACCTTGTGAAGGAATCAGCCATTTGTCTGCCTGACTCCCCTACATCTCTGTGGTTATCTCAGTTTCCCTCTTCTAGGCCCTGAACCTCAGTTCCGCAAGTTAGAGTTGTGGAGATTAATCAACAACTGGTTGGCTGGGTCAAGGTCAGTCAATGACTTCCCAGCCCTGCCTAGATGCCTTTCTCTGACCCAGGAGCTGGAAGCCACCCTTACTAGAAATACGACTGTCAGGCGGCAGCAGGAGACTCATGATAGAGATTCAGGGGATGGGGCCTCCAAAATCAGCGTGTGACAGAGAATGCAACGTTGTCAGGGCCCCAGGTCTAAGCCAGAACTGTCATCCTCAGACCAAGAAGACAAAAGCTTGCTCAGTCCCAGAGGAAGCAGCCACACTTCTCCTGGGGGAGTTGTAACACTCTCAGCTCTGGGGAGGGGTCCAAGTGTAGCTACTTCATTGAGTCACCTCTTCAGAGTGACCCAGGCCTATTCCATATTTATTTAGAGCATTTAATTAAAAAGTTAGAATTATTCATATAGTTTTGCATCCAATTTCATCTGCACACCAACCCTAGGTGGATTTTTGCCCCTTTTTACAAATGAGGAAAGTAAAGCTTAGAGAAGTTGTTAGGGAAAATAGCAAGTAACAGAGCAAAGACAAAAATCCAGTGCTGCTGAGTCCCTTATTCAACATGTCTAAAAGCACGGAGAGGGGGAGGAAGTGGATTTTAAATTTGATTGTCATTTGCATATATGCAAGACTTTCTCTGGAAGGACTTAAGAGAGGCTTGGGAGAGTGTTTGCCTCCCAGAAGGAGACTGGGAGACAGGAAGGGTGGGGAAGGTGCAGAATGGGGGGGGGGAGGGACACTAAGGCTTACTCCTTTGTACCTTCTGGAAGAAACTATTACCTCTTTAACAACCACATACAAGTTGATCTAATTCTTTCCTTCCTGTACCCAGCAATTTTCTCCGGGTTCTGGAGTGCTGGGCACTCAGGCAGGTGAGAGGAGCCGATGCACTCTGCCCGTTTCTGCCCATTTCAGGTGAAGCCCCCGTTACCCCAGCAGTCCATTCCGGTCAACTTGGGAAAGACAATACCCCCATTCAGGTGCCTCCTGTCTCAATTATGTG